TTTCTAATTCAGTAGGTATTAGACCAAAGAACCTGAACTTCCAACAAACTTCCAGTAATGCGGATGCTGCTGATCCAGGAGTCACGCTTTGAAAACCACTGCTCTACAGCACATGGTCAGGTGCTGTAGAGCAGTGGTTTTCAAAGCGTGACTTTAATAACCTAGGCATGATTTTAACCTTAGGGTATTTGCACTTGCTGACAAGAGAGACAGGGATGCCAATAATGAAAACAGACAATAAAAAAAAGGAAGGTCGGTCTTAACTCCATGTTGCCTATATAATAAAATTTGGCATTATGAGCAGAGTAGCCAAAGCCTTCCACAAATCCAAAGCTTTTTTCCAAGACCAAAACACATATTCCATGTAACCATAACTACTCAATATTCTGAGAAAATTCAATCAATTTCTGCAACAACCCTTCAACACAAGCTTGAAAGAGAACATATGCATATTAGAAAAATAAACCAAGTACTATGAATTCAAAAGAGAAAGAGATTTCAAAACCCTGTACACTAAGAGGTTCAAAAAAGAAATGACCACAAGCATAACTGAGGGAAGACATGGTCTTCAATGATAAGAAGACGGTTAAGCTAGATTAGGATTGAGGAAAGTTTAAGTTATCCAGAGAGAGCATCTGACGTGAAGAAAAAATTATAATGAAAAGCGGTCATGAGATAAGAAAGTGGGGTGAGCCCCCTTCACCTGGCATACAGGGACAAAGGGAAGGAAAGAAAACTGGATTTCATTCCTTGGCAGGATAGTGTAGGGGGTCGTCAGGGAAGGATAAAGAATAATCCACTTGAGCCTGAGTGTCATCAAATACACTTTTAGCTTTATGTATTTTAAAAACTTTACCTTAAAAATAAAGACCAGAAGCAAACATGGTAAAATGCTATAGATGTTAAAATCTGGGGATCAAAAAGGGTTCTCGGGCTGGGGCTGTAGCTCAGCAGCAGAGCACTTGCCTTGCACCTGTGAGGCACTGGGTTGGATCCTCAGCACCACATAAAAATAAACAAATTTTTAAAAAGGGGGGTTTTAAAATTCACACCAAAAGAGAGAAAATATGAATATAAATTAAAACCCAAAGGTGATTTTTAAACACGTGCATTTGGTGAAAGAGGGTGCTTATTTAGAATCCCACTTTATTTCCCCAAACAAGTTGGATTATTTTATACAATATAAATAAAAATGTATCCAAAAACATGTAAAAATACAAAATCTTTAAAATCAGAGTCAAAACTCAGAAATTAAAGGGAAAACCAAGTATATGAAAGAGAATGCAGCCATGCAGGCTCTAGGATTCTACAGGGCATTACATTTGTAATACAAATTTAGCTGTGAACTTCCTGACAATCAAAACAAAAGTGAAGGTTACTTTTCCCACAAAGAAGAAAGTACACCAGGAACATAGGAAAAATAAAGCTTTCCAGAGCAACTAAGGCAGTACAAATTATTATGAGATAAAAAGAGTTACGTTTAAAAAATTCTCAGTAATATCCCTACAATAAATGCAACAGCAAACTTCCTAGGACTGTTTCATAAGACTATTTCACAGGGTAGACTAAAGACAGGACACTTGTGACAGATATCAGCTGGTGCCCACCAAAGCCATTTCTTCTTCAACCTAGTCAAACAGCTGTTGAACCACTGCACTTCACAGTTTTCCTTGCACTTAGGTGTGGCCTATGATTGTACTCAAGGCAATGAAATATGAGCTGTTTCCAGGCCCAGTCCATAAAAATCTTTTTCCACACTTTCTCCATACACACACTCTCCTGTTTGGTAGATGATGGGCTAGTGAGTGACTTTACAAGACGAGACCCACCAGGTGAGATGGCACACACCTGTAATCCTAGTGGCTCGGGAGGCTGAGACAGAAAGATAACAGCCTCAGCAACATAGGGAGACCCTAAGCAACTTAGTGAAACCCCGTCTCTAAATAAAATATAAAAAGGGACTGGGGATGTGACTCAGTGGTTAAGCACCCCTGAGTTCAATCCTTGGTACCAGACACAGTAAGGAGGCAGCCACCTGCAAGCTTTCTTCCTAGAAAGTCCCCACCTGAATCCAACCACACTAGCTAGCATCCTGATCTTGAACTTTAAGCCTCTGGAACTATGAGAAATAAATTTCTGTAGTTTAGGTCACCTAAAATTCTATGGTATTTTGTTGTAACTGTCTAAATTAAGACATAATTTATACATAAGGGTTAATGCAGTTCAGGATAAAAAGAAACCTACCTATTATTTGTTTGAATAGGAAATTCACATTACTCCAGTGAAACTTCACTCCTACAGAGAACTGAGGAAAACTAGTCATGACCTTCTGTTATCTGGACTGAGAAGCAAAGAGAATAAATGAAACAGAAAGATGGAATAGACATACTTTTTTTTCCCAATTCTTCCCAATAAGTAAAACTAAGTTTGTAAACCAAAGGCAATCCCTGACTCAAACACCTTATCTGACATGATTTCGCAGTCACTCTATTTTGTGAAACACTACTTACTATCTACCATGATGTTCACAGTGCTTCACAAATAGCAAGAGCTCAGAAAATATCCTCTAAATGAATCAATCAACCATCTGCCTCAGTCAGACCCTAATCGCTTTTCTTTCATTTTCTCCTTCACATACACTACTCATAATTCCAGCTCAAGACTTTGGTCATCCTGCTCCCACCATGAGAATACCCTCCCCTCTTCACTTTAGAATCTGCTACCATCTGCTAGAATCTTGTGCTCCCCCAACCAAAAAGTATGTTGAAAACTAATACCAAGGTTAGTATTAGGAGGCTGGGCTTTGGGGAGGTGATTAGATCCACCCACCTGAATGGGATTAGTGCCCTTATAAAGGACTCTACAGAGAGCTGCCTTATCCCACTACCAGCAAGAACTCACCAAGTAAGTAACCACCTACAAACCAGGAATTAGGGCTTCATCAGGCACTGAGTCTAATGGCCCCTTGACCTTGGAATTCTCAGCCTCCAAAATTGTAAGAAATAATTTTGTTGTTTATAAACTACCCAGTTTATGGTGTTTTGTTACAGCAGCTGAACTGACTCTGATACTTTCACACATTCACTTTCCCTGACATGAGTGTTGCTTTTTGCAGTCACTTTGCCCATACTCCAGGGTACATTTAGCAACATCTGGAGACATTTTTGGTTGCTGGGGCGGGGGATGGGGGGGCAGTACTAACTACTAGTAGACAGAGGCCAGGGAGGGTGCTAAACAACCTGGCTGCACAGGACAGCTGGTCACTAAAAAGAATCATATGCCCCCAAATATCCACAATGCATTGGTTTAGATCAATCTCTTCTTGGTTCGTTCCCCAGGTAACAGCAATCTTTATGTTACCTTGGAGACCTATGAGCTCCAAGACAGTTTAAAACAAATTGATGTTTTATGAGGTCTTCCCTTGCATGCTATTTTGCCTCCCCTGATGAGCCTGGAATATTCTTCATATTCTTTGATTTGCTATTCATAATAACTCAGCTCTCTTCCTTTAGTCACGTGAATACTTATATTTTCCTCTCAACAACGCTGCCTCGCCAGCACTGTTCCTATTATTCTTCCTTGGATTGTCCCAGTCCCTTATAATGGAGTGCCAATATCATCTGGCCTCTGGAATCCCTTTCCTGCACCCTACCCCTGTGCTCTTATCAAGCTGTCAGTTCATAAGGGAAGAATCAGCAACTCAACTTCTGTCACAAGCCCATCTGAAATGTTCCATCATTAATGCAGCTGCACGCCCCAACCTGGAATAATCTGTCCCTTTTTTAAAATATCCACTGCATTACTTTTAAGGCACACATTTTTCTTTGCATCGTAGTTGCATATGCTTTATGACCCTGCTAAATTGAAAAAAAAAATTAAATGTTAAATTACACATAACATAGAATTTTACCATCTTAACCATTTTTAAGTGTACAGTCCAGCAGCGTTAAGTACATTCACATTGTTATACAACCAATCTCTAGAACTCTTTTTATCTCAAAAAACTAAAACTTTACAACTATTAAACAACTCCCATTTCCTGGGCTCCTAGCTCCTGGAGAAAGCAGAAACCACACTGTACTTTCTGACTCTGACCTTGACTACCTTCTGTACTTCATATACAGGGAATCATATAATATTTGATTATATCACATGATTAATAATTGGCCCTGTCGGTAAGGCCAATTATTAATGGGAAAATAAAAATGCTTCTCTTGCCTCTTCTCACCTGACTGTATGACACCACCATAGGCTCCGAGTAAACACTTCCTAGACAACGTGCTGGCCTCCTGTAAGTCCCTGGTAGCCTGTGTCTCCTTTCTTAGCATGCCAAGAAACATCTTTCTCCCGGAAGCCTTCTCTTATTCATGCAGTCGTTTGTTCCCTCTCTCATGTAACCACTGTCCCTAGCACACTCACATACACACACACTTCCACGTAAAACTCTTCGCAGCTATTTGCTCAGACGTCTGTGGTTCCTTCACCCTCGGAGTTCCCTAAACTAAAATGCGGACATATTCTGGGAGCTGTTAAACAGCTTCTCATACAAAATAGGTAACCAATAAAGATTTGTTGAAAGTCAGGGAAACAACAAAAACGCCACCATTTCTCGGTCAAGGGACCACAAATGGTGCCCCGGCGCCTGGTTCTCACTACCGCTAATCCTCACACCAATCTCTAGAAGCGAAAAGGAAACTGAGGCCCCGAGACTTTTATTTGAACCAAAGGCTCCTGGCCCTGCTTTTAAAGCCGGTTCAAACCTGAATAATTCCTGGTCCGTCCGTCCGTCTGTCTGTCCCCCTCGCCCCGACACACACAGCGCGGAAGGACGGAGGGACGGCCTCTCCCAGCCTGGGTACCCGGCAGCAGCCCCGCTGAGGTGACACGGGCCAGGACCGCAGCCCGGGCTAGCCGACCCGGGGCCGGTCCCTGTGTCGCGCCCAGAGCTAGACGACAACTCCCGCCGCGCTGGCCACCACCATCCCCCGCTCCCGCCTCACCTGGCAGCACCACCCGACTCGGTCTGCTGCACCCGGAGTCCGCACACCCGGACCCCAACTCCTCTCCGCAAAGCCAGTCGCGGCAACGGCCAGCGCGGGCTCCTGCGTCATCAGCCGTCGCCCGCGATGGGGTCACGTGACGCCCCGCCCTGCTGTCCATCTCTTCGGTCATGTGACGACCTGGAGAGGCAGGGGCGGAAGCCGGGGTCCGGCCACCTCAAGATCTGGGGCCGGGGGCAGGAACCCTTGCGGAGCGCGAGGGTGGGAGCCGGCTGCAGACCCCGCGCGCGATCGCCGGCCCTACGCGTGCGCGGGTGCGCGGGCCGCTGACAGGTGAGTCGGGCGGGGCGCGCGCCCTCCTTTCAAGTCCCGCGTCCCCTCCCCGGCGGCCCGGCCGCGCTGCGGCGGGGGATCTGTAGTAGCATAGCTTAAGGTCTGGAAGGGGACCTGGGCAGGAGGGCTTAGAGGCCAGTCCAGAGCTTCAGCTCCACTTGGAAATCATTTTGCACTCTCCTTTGGCGCTCTGGGATCGCCCGCTGCCAGAAGTGTGGCTGCTTGGCCCGCATCTGCTCCTTGCAAGTTTCCGGGGGCAATGCTGTGCTGATGTTGCTGTTCCTCCAGAAAACTAAGTGATTAGTGAGTGCTTTTGCGAGACCCAGTTTGAATTCTAGTTCTCTCATGCGCTGTGAGTTTGGGCAAGTCTTTGCCCCTCTCTTGCTCCCTAATTCCCTCACTTGTAACATTGTGGTGCCAAAGTCCTTTGCATTTCGAACAAAATGTTCCGCAGCCTCTGATTCCTTTATGGTTGCCCAGTAATGGGACCTGATCTTAACGTACATGGAGCTCCCTCCAACGTGAGTGAAGAGGGCCAGGACAGCGGTGAGGGAGATGTGTTTTCTGCCTCTGCCCACAACTAGGGATACCTACCCTAATTACCCTTCACCAGTCTTTCTTAGTAGTCATAAATCGGCTAGTATGATCAGGCTCATTACAGAACTTGTCTGGAAGAGATTTGCCTCTCACATTTATCTTGTCCAATGACCATTATATTTTGTTCATGATAATAGATTTGTGGAGACCAGTGAGTGCTTCCTTATTAATGGAACTGAGATTCTGTGAAAGGATAAAATTAGAATTTTTTATCCTTTTTTATCCTTTGTGTAGGATCAGTGGTGCTTTGTTCAGGACAATTTAATTGCTTAAGAAATTTTTGTTCTGTATTTATTTGGTGTGTGATGATGTCATGCTTCATTCCTGAAAGCATGGTATCTGTCCCCAAGTGAAATCCCAGTTCCATCCCAAATCCTTAGAAATGAAGTTATGACAACTTTATAACTCGTAAAATAATAATAGGGACATTGACAGATCTCGGTTTCCATTTCATGCCAATAGAATATTAGTATTGAGAATACTGGTCTTTGTACATTTTCTTCATCTCTTGCACCAAACAACCTCTGAAGAATTATTTGATATAGCTTCTCCTACAATGTTTATTTAGAATTCATTCTAGAGTAAATTTTTTTAAGGACTTGTAAATCTCTCTACCCACTTCATAGGTCATTGTAATGTGATTAGGCATCTACTGATGGTTTTTTTCATTCTTCTTCAGAGTCGATTTTTCATCCAATGGTAGAATTGTTTACCAAATACCCTAGCCAAATAATATTCATGCAAGTTGTGGAAATTCTCTTTGTTACATGGAAAATGTAACTAATTCAAGTTAGGAGGAGGTCTAGTACACAGTAATGTAACTTACATGTGATAATGTGAGTGATTCCCTTCTTTCAGTTAATCTGGTTTTAACTCGAGTCTTCAAAATTTTCACAAAAAATGCTTACACTATAGAGATAGAAATCAATTGTTCTACATGAGGGAAGGCAGATGACAATGAGTTTTATTTCACTGAAAGTATATTAAATGTAAGCCACATTCTGCTTTTACATTAAAAATTTAGCACAAACATTAATAGATTTTTAGATAAGACAGTCTAGGTAATAAAGATCGTAACACTTGTTTTTCAATTGCCAAACACATTTGATTCTTTTCTTATACTCTCCTTATAGTGATCTTTAAAGGTATCTACAGTGTGATTCTTGATTGAAGGTATAAGGATTAAAATAAGAGATTGACACACAAAAGTCGTGACTTGTGTCATCATCCCAGATCTGAGCTTGAATGTGTCATACTGAGCATGCAGGTGCTGAGTATATCTGTCTGGCTGTTGGGAGAGCTGGGGAAGAGGGTGGGTAATGTTGCTTTGTTTAAGCAGTTTTCTCCGGGTCCCTACTGCCCTATTCTACTATCTAAAATCTGGTAGCAGTTATAACTTGGCCTTGTCTTTATGAATCTAGAGATTCATCCTGCAAAGACCTTCTGGGTTAGTTTGCTCTTCAGAGGAAAAACTCAGAAGGTGACTGTTTCACCCATTTTCCATTATTTTCACCTTTTTCCTCTCTCATTTCCCAAGCTAGACCATATCAGTGCAGAAAATAATATGAAATTCAGCCTGTTAAATAGCATTGTGATTTAATAAGCAGGCATCACAGAGAAAACTAAAAGGATTTGTTAATAATTTATGCCTTAATGTGTATTATATGGGTACCCTCATGAGAGAGCATTCTCGACTTCTTAGCAATGCTTGCTTTCAGACCCAAACTGGTCCACCTCCACTAATTTCTGTTTCTGTCCCTTGCTCACTCTGCTCCAGCCACATCAGCTACCTTGGTGTTCCCTAAGCACATCTAGCACATTTCTGATCTGAGGCCTTTGCACTTACTTTTAACCTCTGAGTGAAATGTCCTTCTGGACCACATCATTACCTTTTTCTGCATAGCTAAATACCTCATAACCTAGTGGCTTTGAACGATGGACATTTATGAACTCACAGCTTCTGTGGTCAGGAATTAAGAGTATGGCCAAACCAGCTGGGTGCCTTTGCTCAAGGGCTCTTGGGAGGTTGCACTCAATCTATGAGCATGGTCTGTAGTCTTATCTGCAGGCTCCACTTTGGGTTGGGGGGATATGCTTTCAAGCTTGCTTATGTGGTTGTTGACTTGCTCTCACTTGCTGCAACCATATGCTGCAACCACTTGCTTCCCCAGAACTAGCAAGCTAGAGAGGATACCCACACCAGACATGGTGACACATGCCTGTCTCAGCTACTCAAAAGATGGAGACAGGATGATACCTTGAGCCCACAAGTTCAAGGCCATCCTGGGCAACATAGGGAGACTCTATCTTAAAAATTGATAATAATAATAATAATATTAGGGTACTCAAACCAGAACTCACTCTTTTCTAATCTCAGAGATGGTATCTTTCCCTGCTATCATCTGTTCTTTAGAAAGGAGTGAGTAAATCAGCCCACATGCAAGGGTGACTTACCTAGCACATGAGTACCAGGGGGCAGGTCTTCAGGGACCAACTTAGAAGCTGTGGGTCATACCCAAACACCCTCACTGCTTACTCTCCTCCTGATATCTGCTCAGATATCATCCTGTCAGAGAGGCCTTCCCGAACTCTCCATGTAAACTAACCCTTGCTCTGTCCTGTTACCATGCCTTTCTTCACAGCTGTTATCACAGCCTGATATCCAGTTATTTGTTTTCTCTTTCCCACTGCCATGAGTATGTTAGCATCATGACAACAGGGACTTAGTTTTGTTTTCACTGGTATAGCCTCAGATCCTGAAGCAGTGCTTGGCCCATAGTCTTTACTGGGTAAATATTTGTTGAATGAATGATTTGTATCACTAAGAATGCTTTCACCAGATAACCCAATGAACAGTGGGTAAACCACAAAGCAATACATTGAATAAGGATTACAGATATGTACAGATGTGTAATTTAACAGTTAACCAGCAGTTCAGCAACATCAACAAAAACTAAGATTCTGTCCTTCCACACCACAGTCTGCAGGTTCTGAGCTTTTTCCCCTTAGGCTTGTCACCTCTTGGTCTCAGCTACTGCAGCTCCAGGAATCATATGGTCATCAGACCACATCAATGGCAAGAAGCAAGAGAATAACTAGTACCAAGAGAGATCTTTCTTCACATCCCCTTCCCTTTGTCACAGGAGGTAAAAATTATTTCCTGGACTCCCCACCATAGACTTAAATCTCCTGGGTCAAAATTGGACTACACATCTACTGCTGGTTTCAAGGGAGATAGAAAAGTCAGAATCTGACCCCTTTGTCCTCCATAGAATAAAAGAAGGCTGATGGGAAATGCTGTTAATGTTGTTGCCATAACATCCCAGGAAGATAAGACATTTCCAAATGTTGAACCAACATAGAGACTTGTGAAAGTTAAAAAGAAAACCTCTAAGGATTACACACCCAGTTCCAGGTCATAGATGACCACATTAGGTAGCTCACAATGGGAATGAACTTGAAATTCATGTGAGAAGCTCCAAGGAACAGTTTTGCTGTGGCTGCAGAGGAAGCCCTGTCCTGCACTGTCAACAGTCTTTCCACGTCCTGATTGTGTATATAGAGGATTCCCCCTCTTTTTACATATTTTACCTATTTTATCATTCATATGATCACATATGAACGTAGAAGTTGTCATTGACAACATTTTAATGAACTGACTACTTACAAAGTAAGTAGCTCAAAAGTTCAAAAAGTCCAAAAGTCTCTATGCAGTTGAATTCTTATTTTGGTCAATCTTCCTAAATACGGTGTTTGTTTTGACACAGCACAGTATCATGGCAAAGCGAAAGATAAATGTTGGGAAAGACACAGACTTTCCTGAAACTGAAAAGTGCTGAGGGCTTCCTGGAAGTTGACAGATGACGACTCAGCTAAATTAACATGGGAGAAGGGCAACAAAGGTTGCCTCAGTACAGGTTGCCTCAGAAGATGAGGATTAGAAAAGGAACTGGGAGAAGCGGTCATTGGTGAAATGAAGTGCACCTTGAAAACTGTTCACAAAAATTGCCATTTTTAACCCATCAACTTCCAAGTCTTCAGTTCTACAAGTATTTCAACAAAATGGACACTGGTTGAAAAATAGATTGAAAATTATGATCTTGAGCTTATATATCCTTCATTTATTTTCGTATACATGTATGAAGTGCATATTTGTGTGTGTGTGTTTTC